TTATTTGACAGGGATGATGGCCCTGGCAGGTGCGCAACCGTTGTTGCAGAAGTTCGAAAAAGTTGCTCGCAAAAGCCCGTTTGACAGAAATGTTTAAAAAGTGTTGGGTTTCCTACGAATCCGCAAGAGCGCGCGGGATGAAATTTTGACAATTTTTTTTGAAAAACCATTGGTTTTTTGATGTTTTTATGTTAAAATCGCTACGAAAACTAAGGTTTTGGAAGGATTTCGTCTTGCGCGCGCGAATGTCCACTTTACCTTATTTTTTGCAAGGGATTCTTGAAGTTTGGATATGTTAGAACAAGAAATGTCCACTTTAGCTTATTTTTTGCAAGGGAAAACCGATCGTAACAACACAACCGGATCCGGACCAACCCGTTTTGCCTGAGACTTCCTCACGAAAATGATGAAAATGAGGCTGCGGCCTAGGCGCGGCGGGGGGGTCGTGCACCAGGGGCCCCAACAATAATTATTCTTTAGAAGTAATAATGTTCAACAACAACAACAACAACAACAACAACAACAACAACAACAACAACAAACAACAATCATTTTACCCGAACGCTCAGTGTTCTCCCCAGTGCCAGGGTTTTCATGCGACGCCAGCCAATACCCCCACTTCGTGGGGGGGCAATGCAAGCTCTACCAAACATCCACACGACTCTCGGGAACCACCCACACCCAGCTTCCCGCCCTATGACGTCAGGACACTTCACTTCGTGGCGCGCGGACGATCGTGGATACTACACTGGCGTGGAGTACACACCCGCAGAGGTTGATCACTTGTTTGGGCCCCGCATGTGCCCCGCATCGTGCATTCGTTGCGCATGACATAGAGAGAGCAAGACAGAGAGAGAGAGAGAGCAAGACAGAGAGACAGAGAGAGAGAGAGAGCGAGCAAGACAGAGAGCCAGAGGAGAGAGAGATAGAAAGAGATTCGTCACATGTGTGAGGCAACCTGAGAAGATGCGGTACACGGTACACGTGAGATGGTACGCACTGCCAAGATAGTTGGTCACATTTTTGGGGCAATTTCCTGGGAAGGCGATGAAGCAGAGAAAGAGCGAGATAGATGTGTTCATATGATAGATATGAAGCAGAGAAAGAGCGAGAGACATAGAGAAGGAGAGAGAGGGAGTCGGTCACATCTTTAGGGCAACTTCCTGAGGGATGTGGGAGGACACAAGAGAGAAGGTATCGTTGTCCCGATGGTTGTCTCGATGGTTGCCCCGATGGTTGTCCTGATGGTTATGGTTGTCCCGATCGTTTTCCCGATGCTGGTCCAAATGGTTGTCCCGATGGTTGTCCCGATGGCTGTCCGTCTGCGATGCAATGTTGTCTGTTTCTGCTGTTATACAGTCCCAAGGATGACGCATGCAATGCTCATACTTTCTCCTGCTTTCGCAAACAGGTCCAGTCACACTATGAATATACACGAAGCATACTAAGGCGACTCGTCCTCTGCGACGTCGCGAATACGCTTGGGTACACGGCTGCCTGGCTGATGCAGGTGCGGGCCGAGCTGATACCCGTGCGCTCCCAAATGGCCAATGATATTGCCGATACGCCTGCTGGCGGGAGAGCCGGGGCTCGCATACGGCAGTGCGAACGCGGCCACGACATGCGCCGGCAAGAGCGGGTAATCGAGCATGTTCGGATACTCGTCGCTCTGACCAAAAGACCGCCATACGGGCAACCACCACCACTGGTCTTGACGCGGATACTTTATCTCTGGGCCGACCTCAGGGGATACGTTCCAAATGGCCATTTTCTGCGGGTCCGTACCCATGAAGGCCGCGTGATACGCAATGAATACGTCCAAGGTGGCGAGGGCCCTGTAGGAGAGGCCGGATACGATCTCCGCGTGAATGGGAATACCGAGCTGACCGAGCAAATACCGCATACTGCTATACACCCACTGGCCCGGGTGGACGAAGAGGTGGGCTTTCCAGGCGACGATACCTCGCCCGGTGCATAGCGTGTCGAATACGTGCAGAAGGAAGCCAATGGGCTTCCCTAGCCTCTCATCCTGGAATACCGAGAAATTCCCGAATACCGCGTGCGCGTAGAAGAAGGCGTCGAAGTAAACCCACTCCGGCTCGGGGATGCCCCCCATACTGTGCTGGTAGTTCGGGTCGTTGTTCGTCTTCGACTGCCTCGTGGACATACCGCTCGATACGGCGAGGCATACGCCCTTGACACCCTCCCACACGAGCTCATGTAACATAAATGTTGGAAAACCATTGGTTTTTTGAGGATTCGGACAGCGCGCGCGGGTGGAAATTTTGAAAAGTCGTGCAGCTGTTTTTCGAGGACCTGCGGTGCGATTCGTGTGATTTTATGATGCGCGGTGGTAAAATTCTTAAAAACCCAATGGTTTTTTGTAGATTTCGGCGTGCGCGCGCGAAGAAAACACGAACCCGCATGGTATTATTTGAGAGGGATGATGGCCCTGGCAGGTGCGCAACCGTTGTCGCAGAAGTTTGAAAAAGTTGCTCGCCAAAGCCCGTTTGACAAAATTGTTTAAAAAGTGATGGTTTTCCTACGAATCCGCAAGAGCGCGCGGGATGAGATTTTGACAATTTTTTATTTAAAAAACCATTGGGTTTTTGATGTTTTTATGTTGAAATCGCTCCGAAACCTAAGGTTTTGGAAGGATTTCGTCTTGCACGCGCGAATGTCCACTTTAGCTTATTTTTTGCAAGGGATTCTTGAAATTGGATTACATTTGAACAAGAAATTTCATTTTATAGTGTTTTTTGCAAGGGAAAACGGGGGGGAACAAAACAACCGGATCCGGTACTAATCCACTTTTCTGAAGCTTTCGCGAAAAAATGATGAAAATGTAGCTGCGGCCTAGGTTTTGGAGGGGGGTCGTGTACCAGGGGCCCCAACAATAATTATTCTTTAGAAGTAATAATGTTCAACTACTACTACTAACTAACTAACAGCAACAGCAACAACAGCGACAACAACAACAACAACAACAACAACAATCATTTTACCCGAACGCTCAGTGTTCTCACCAGTGCCAGGGTTTTCATGCGACGCGAGACAATACCCCCACTTCGTGGGGGGGCAGTTCAAGCTCTACCAAATATCCAAACGACTCTTCGCCACCACCCACACCCAGCTTCCCGCCCTATGACGTTGGGACACTTCACTTCGTGGCATGCGGACGACCGTGGCTACTATTCAGGGCCCCGCGGCCGACGACGACGGCGTGCGCGCGCGAAGAAAAAACGAATGTGTCCCGCATGTATTATTTGACAGGGATGATGGCCCTGGCAGGTGCGCAACCGTTGTCGCAGAAATTCGAGCTCGCAAAAGCCCGTTTGACAAAATTGTTTAAAAAGTGTTGGTTTTCCTGCGAATCCGCAAGAGCGTGCGGAAGGACATTTTGACATTTTTTATTAAAAAACCATTGGGTTTTTGATGTTTTTATGTTAAAATCGTTACGAAACCTAAGGTTTTGGAAGGATTTCGTCTTGCGCGCACGAATGTCCACTTTACCTTATTTTTTTGCAAGGGATTCTTGCAATTTGATCAAGTAAGAACAAGAATTTTCATTTTATAGTGTTTTTTGCAAGGGAAAGCGGGGGGGAACAAAACAACCGGATCCGGTACTAATCGTTTTGCCTGAGACTTCCTCACGAAAATGATGAAAATGAGGCTGCGGCCTAGGCGCTCAGGGGGGGTCGTGCACCAGGGGTCCCAACAATAATTATTCTTAAGAAGAAATAATGTTCAACAACACCACCAGCAGCAGCAGCAGCAGCAGCAGCAGCAGCAACAACAACAACAACAACAACAACAACAACAACAACAACAACAACAACAACAACGAATGCCGTTGTCATGGTGCGACGAGTCTGGGAGCAAGGGAGACTTGATGTCTGCTACTTCTACCGCCCACCATCCTTCACGGATCCATCTCCGACCGTAGGCAGGTTGGCAGAAAGGAGCGGGATTTGGCGGAGGACAGCAACGGTGGCGACGAGAGGGCGGAGAGGGAGAGTAACGGGGCCGCACCCGCCAGTGGCCAGCGGAGGTCAGGGCAAGGGGAGGAGGAGGAGGAGGAGGAGGAGGAGGAGGAGGAGGAGGAGGAGGAGGGGGAAGGAGAGGAAGAAGGGGAAGAGGAGGAGGAGGAGGAGGAGGAGGAGGAGGAAGGAGAGTCCCACGCCAACAAGGTGCGCGCCAGGACCATGATCATCCCACAGGGGACCTCTCCTCCTCCCCCGAGATCCTGGCGTCGCAGGTGTCTTTTCACAACGGGCGACTGCGCCCTGGGTTCGGGCCACGGGACCATCCCAAATCGATCCAGTTCGACACATGCCGCAGAAAGATGAGGTCTGGGGCTCTGGTCGAGTTTTGCTGTACGATGTTGCAGCTTTTTCGTCGCACCTCAGGGTCGGGGCGGGTCCGCAGTCAGGGCGAGGATCGAGAAGCGATTTACCGCAGAACCCCCAGATCCAGGCGACGCCTCCAAAACGCGACGGCCAATTGGAAGTTACGTTTTCGGCCTCCAGAGGCCGCTTCACGGCCCCAGGGCCGTCAGAAGACGGCTCGGGATGAGAAGCCGGCCCTGGGGCCCCCGAGGCCCGTGCCGCAGGGAGGTCTCGAGAATCGAGGGCCGAGGGTCCAGGGATTCCTCCTCCCCCTCCTCCCCCTCCTCCTTCTCCTCCTCCTCCTCCTCCTCCTCCTCCTCCTCCTCCCCCTCCTCCTCCTCCTCCTCCTCCTCTGTCAGAAAACGGCTCAGGATGAAAAGCCGAACCAGATGCGACGGTGGACGAGAGGAAGGTACCTGCTAGGACGCTTGCCTGAGGCGCCCGAAGCTGCCGGCTAGTTCGCTTCCCAGGGACGACCGAAGGTGTCTGTCGGGACGCTTCCTCCCGCTCGGCCCCCCCATCGCCTTCCGCCTCCTCTCCGTCCTACGCTTTCGGCACGGCCAGGCGCACGCCCTCCCCAGAGAAGAGAGGCGCGCAGCAGGCCAAGCGCGCCTTCAGGCGCTGCAGCCTGGCCTCCTCCCTCGCCTCGAAGTCGGCTTGCGCCTGCTTCGCCCTCGGCCGAAGCGCGGAGCACGGACCGCCTACAACCCTGAGATACGTCACAACAAAAATGCAACATCAAAACAGCAAGAAAACACTCGACTGGAGCCCTGGATCCTTCTTTCCGCCAGATTTCGAAGCAAGATTTTACTCCGTGATGGTCTCGGGGCCCGAGACAAGGCAAAATCGCCCATTGTGGAGGATGCGACGCCAAGACCTCAGGGAAGCGTAACCCATGCCCCATCAGACGGTTGGTGTAGGCTATGGGAGGGGGCAGGTTGAGGACAACGCACAACCATGGCATGGCCAGATGACAAGGACGACGACCGGTTATGCGATGGACTACTTGTTCTGTTGTTATTCTTGCTGTTGCGCGTTTTGAAGAGAGGAGGAAAAGGAAGGGCAAGGAACACGCGATGCACCGCACTCCTCCACCTTCCAACTTGCTTATGGTGCGGTGGAGGTTGTAGTTAAGGATACCTCTGATAAGGAACCCAGGGTCTCACAACCGATGGGCGGCCAAACGCGGGCCACCCAACTCGCCTTGAAGCAATAAGGAATACGCCAGGGTCTGGGCCCCAGGAAGATGTTTCTTATCCTATGCAGCCGCCGTATACATCGTCTCGCCCCCGCGTGCAACCTACAGAGCTCGATGTCGTGCTGTCGTCGTGACGCTGGGCGTTCGGAGAGGCTCCCAAGGCGTGAGGTCGACGACAAAATAGAGAAAAAAGGAGGACGTCGACGAGGAGCACTTGGGCGACAAGGAGGAAGATGAGGAGAAAGTCGAGGACGCACGACGCTTGCAAATCTAGCTGCCGATCTAGCGCTCCGTATTTGAATGACCACGTGTCGGAAAGCATGATCGCTGGAAGCACGTGACGTGCCACGACCGGCTCTTGGAATGTCGCGCCAACTCCTACCATTTGCCCCCACGCGCTCATCGTCGATTGAACGGCAAGCAGTGCAACAACAGTTCCCAAAATGCATAACATATCCCATTGTTGATACCCAGGGCTTACAGAAAGCCGTGCCTCAGCTCGTTTACACGATGGCTGGATGCAGCACGCTATTGACAGTCTTCTTGGGTGCTTCTTGCAACTGAGTGCACGCTGCGCCACGCTTGCATCTGCTTGATTGGTGCGCGATGCATAGACTCCCTAGCATACGATGCATCGGCAGAAAGAAAATACTCCTCGTTTGCCTCTCCCATCCGCACGTGCCTCTCCGACCCGCGGTCTCCAAAGGCTCCTGCGCCATGTCTCCAAAAGGTGCTCGCGCCGAGGGTCCCCCACTTCTTCGGTGAACAACTTAGCCCGACCGCACCGCGGCTCCTCGTGCCTGGAGCCTCCAGGCCTGGAGCTCCAGTGCCGCAGAGTGGGCCGCGACAGCTTGCAGCGCCCGCGCTTGCCGCCAGGCGTGCTGGTCGTCGATCTGCCTCGCCGACCGTAGGAGTGCCAAGCTGCTTCCTCTAAGCACCCCCCCTGCCGCCGCGCGGCGCCGGGCTGGCGTCCTGAGGATCTCCGTGGGGTCATCGGTCGGTCGGCTCGTCACCTCCGCCGCGCGCGCGCGGGGGGGCCGCCTGGAGGGAGGACGAGGCGGCGGAGGTGCACCGGGGGGCGGGGGGGGGCTGCGGGCCCGGGGGTGGCGCGTGTCCCCACCTCACTGTGCCGTGCGCTCCTTCGGTAGCGGCCTCGGCATCCTGAGCCCGCGCTCTGCAGGAGCGGGGCGGCGGCAGCGGTGAAGGGAGGGAGGGCGAGGGAGCAAGGCGGGGCGCGGGCCTTCCCGTGCACAGGGGCGAAGAGGGAGGAGGAGGAAGAGGAGGAAAAGGAGGAGGAGGAGGAGGAAGAGGAGGAGGAGGAGAAGGAGAAGCAGGAGGAGGTGGAGGAGGAGGAGGAGAGGGGCCGGGGGGCCCGGAACCCACTCACCGAGACGGCGTCTGCTCGCCCGTGCTCTGGCTCCCGACGGCAGCGAGGGCGGCAGCGAGGACTGGGGGTCCCGAAGCGGTGCAGTGGCAGACCGTGTGGTGCTCTCGAAATCTCCAAAGACCTCACCGCACGGTCCACGGTCCGTCACCGCACGGCGTTTGGACCCTGGAGACCCCATGGGAAGGCGAAAGCCCACTCCCACCCCCAGTCCCGACCCCATCCCCGAACCCACGATCCAAGGGGTCGGGACTGGGGGTGGGGGTGGTTTTTCGGGGTCCAGGAATGGAGAAAACGCCCCCACCACCAATCCCGACCCCTTGAGCCGCCGGCTCGGGGATGGGAGTCGGCACTGGGGGTGGGGGGGTTTTCGCCTTCTGGGCCCCAATCGCCCGAGACGTCCTCGGAGAGCGGCCCAAGTCCCAAAAACGTGCGGTCACCCCCAGTCCCCACTGGCTCACCACTTGGCGGCGCTCCCAGGGGGAAGTGAAAGGGGTCAGGCCTTTTCAGCAGGCGGAGGGGCTTCTTGGAAAACCTCCCGCCTTCTGAGAAGCGCCCTGCGGCTCTGGAGAAAGCTCGAAAGGCTTCTCAGAAGGCCGAAGGCCTTCTGAGCCTTCGGGGAAGGCCGGCCCCCTCTCACTCCCGCCATGAGCGCGCGCGGAGCCACACGCTGTGGTCACCGCACCGCTCGCGGGCCCCGTTGAGGGGAGCCGACGGCGCGGGCGACCCGCGGAGCCGGCGGCGAGGAGGGCTGCGGCGCGAACCCCGCCAAGCAGGCGCGCCTCGCCGACGCCCCACGCCGTCTTGCCGCCCATCGCGGGCGGGTGCACCGCCATGGCGCCTGGGCGCGCACGCGCGCACACCACCGCCGCCGCAGGCTGGCCACCAACCTCCGGCGACGACGGCAACGGCGACGACAACAACGAGGCAGCGGCGACGGCGGCGGCGACGACGGCGGTGGCGACGGCGGTGACGACGGCGACGGCGGCGACGGCTGCGGCGGCGGCTGCGGCGACGGCGACGCGGTAGCAACGCCGTGGCACCTGGCGTCGCCACGCCGCCGCTCGGCCGGCCCCACGCCGCCGCGGCGGGGACGCGGCGGGGCCGAGATGCCCTCGTCGCCGTCTGTCGCCGTCGTCTGTCGTCGCCGCCGTCGCCGCCGCCGCCGTCGTGGCCCCGTCGTCGTCGTGGCCCTCGTCGTCGTCATCGTCGCACTCGTCGTGCTTGTCGTCGCTGTGGCTGTCGTCGTCGCCGTCGTCGCCGTCGTGGTGGTGGCCCTTCCCCGCGCCAAGGCGCGCGGCGAGGTCAAAGCCCTCGGCGGATCAGGCACAACGTGGTCGTCGTCGACGACGGCGACGCCGACGACGCCGACGACGCCGACGACGCCGACGACGCCGACGACGCCGACGATGCCGCCGCCGACGCCGAGGCCGACGCCGACGCCGACGACGCCGACGACGCCGCCGCCGACGCCGACGCCGACGCCGACGCCGACGCCGACGCCGACGCCGACGCCGACGATGCCGACGCCGACGACGACGACGATGACAACGACGACGACAACGACGTCGTCGTCGACGTCGTCGTTCTGCAGACTTTTGGGATCGTTTCTGCAGTAGTTCCTCGCCATTCCTGGACGGGGCTCGAGAAGGACCGACCCAGCATGGAATCCGGGAGGCCCAGGGACCCATAATTTGAGTCCTGGGGCGTCCCTGGAGGTTCTCGTCGTCAGGGATGGGCGCAGCTTGAAGAAGACTGGCCAGGACAGACCCCCGGAGGGGTTCAGGGACCGATCTGGGGCGGATTCCGCAGCGGGCACATCCTCCCCGCAGGCGGGTCGGGCGCAGGAGGAGGGTCAGGACGCTGTTGAGCCGTCGGGCATCCCGGGGGTTTCTGTGCCTACCCCTCCTCCTCCCCAGGCTCCTCTCCCGTCAGCCTCCCCGTCATGCGCCCCACCAGTTTCGCCTTCTGCTCCTCCTCCCCAAACCTCCAGCCCTCCGTGTCTCCTCCTCGAAGTCGTCGGAGAGACTGAGGAGGAGGAGAGGGAGAGGAGAGAAAAGGAAGGCGGGGAAAGGGAAAGAGTGGAGCGGAATGCACAGAAGAGGAGGGGAGAGGAAATGATAGCAGAGGAGTGGAGTGGAGTGGAGTGGAGTGGAGTGGAGTGGAGTGGAGTGGAGTGGAGTGGAGTGGAGTGGAGTGGAGTGGAGTGGAGTGGAGTGGAGTGGAGAGGAATGGATGGAAGAAAAGGATAGGAGGGGAAATGAAAGCAACTAAAGGAATACAGGACAGGAGCAAGATGCAACAAAAGACATCACACAAAACTCAACAACAACCCATATCCCAAGTATTTTACACACAATGGGTATACACATGTACAAACACATGCACATGCACATACACACACCAAACCAAAACATACAAATAACAATGACAAACACACGCACACACACACGCACACACACACATACACATACATACGCATACACATACACATGCACATACACATACACATACACATACACATACACATACACATACACATACACATACACATACACATACACATACACACATGCATACACATACACATACACATACACATACACATACACATACAGATACAGATACAGATACACATACACATACACATACACATACACATACACATACACATACACATACACCTACACCTACACATACACATACACATACACATACACATACACATACACATACACATACACATACACATACACATACACATACACACACGCGAAAACCAAAAGCGTCCCAAGCGACCCGGCAGCTCGAGGCGGAAATCGCAAAGATCGGAGACACTGGGCAACAAGGCAAGGCAACATAAACCCTGCTAAGCCCTCCCCCTCCCGCCTCTTGTTCCTCCTCCTCCTCCACTCCTCCTTCTCCTCCTCCTCCTCCTCCTCCTCCCCCTCCTCCTCCGCCTCCTCCTCCTCTTCTTCTTGTTCTTATGATTATTATGATTAGTATTATTGTTATATGGATTGTTCTTATTATGTTTCTTAGTATTATAATTAGTATTAAAATTACTATTAATAATATTATTAATAAAGAATACTAACAACAATAATACTAATAATACTAATAATAATAATAATAATAATAATAATAATAATAATAACAATAATAATAATAAAATAATAATAA